TCCTAGTAGTCCGGCATGACTATGCTTTTATCACGTAGAGGAGTCCGACGGTGTTTTTCTTTTCTCATTCTCATGTGGGATGTGTGATATGAAAATATCGAGGGCTACCCGTCAGAATTATAGCATAGTATTGCTGGACAACAGGGATTTGCACTGCTGGAGACCGTGACGCCGGGAGGGGCCATCATATAAAAATTTTATTTTTTTGGGGGACGAAGGTGCTATGCGAGTTGGTGGGCATAGCTGCTTAAAATCCCTAGATAATTAAATTTAGCAGGAAATTTGAAGAGCGTTGGGTTACCTTTAGGTGTAAAAAGTGCCATGCTTGATATGAGGTAATGTAAACGCGGATAGGGTATTAGATTTGTAGTAATTTCGTTCAAATCGACTGTCAAATACGAATTATACAAAATTGCAAAGAAATGCCAGGCATATTGCACCGTTAAGCTGGCCCTCAAAACGCATAGAACTGGTTAGATTCAAAAGCAGTGAAGAGACTAAAGCATTCATCGCGTCGAAAGGCGCCTTATTCCTTTTTTCTTCAGATGATTGACATTTATGTTGGCCTTTTTTTCTGTTAAAGTCACAGTTACAATGAATTATTTTGAGCATGAAATCTGGAACCTAAGTATGTCTATAAGAGCCTGGTTTTCAATTGGAAAAACACAATCCGCATGTTGAGTGAGGGATCCAATAGATAGAACACTAAATTAGGATGCGAGGTTTAGCATTTAATGAGCCTTTAAAGGTACCTGTTATAAGGAGATGTAATAACGTCGTCATCTGTGGATGGGAAAAGAGATGCAGAAAATCTAAAAACTTTCGGATAAGCATCCTATGCGGCATTCATTAATACTTGTAAAAGATGTTATCGATGCAATTACATGCAAAAGTTCCAGAATGTAGCTTCCAAGACCAGAACCAGTTCCTCCTCCAAGTGAATGCAAGAGAAAAAAACCCTGCAATGAACTGCAAATCTCTGCCTGGGGAAACCATTGTTTGAGGTTCATATTTCTTTTGTACCTCACGGCGTACTTTTTCAATAATAGTATCCGAGTACTTTGGACCGTAAAAGTTATGCCCATGAGCCCTTCACGGCAGCAAACAATGATTGTGGTTACGAATTCTCATTGATAATTATACCAGTTGTTTCCGGAGCCAGAGATATCTGTGATAAGCTGTGTTGAATTGAACAACTCGGATAAATTTCCCTAAAGAATTTTTAAAATTTTAGAAGAAAAATTTGTATGCAGACCCTTAAAAGCTGATTCACAACTCCTTCCATATCCACTAAGACTGCCCTGGCCTACAAAAACAGATGTAAGGAAAGGAGAGACTATGGAGTATAACTTTTAAGGTAAATATCGGATGAGTCCCATCTTGATAGGAGGATCAAAGCGAGCATCTACATTGTGGAAGTAGCTGAAGCACAAGGAGTTTGTTACGTATAATGATAATCATAATACCTGCTTAAAGAATCATCAAACCACCCATTTGAATTACAGGCAGCGTGTTCCTTGAGTGCCATTTCCCAAAATTTGTATCCAAGCTGCTAAAAATACTCCACATTAAACGAAAGAGGATTGGGTAGAAGAACCTGATTGCCGCATTGTCCACATTGGATGGTGATAACCTCTCTTGGCATTATCTTTTACCCTAATTAGGTGGACCAATGGGATATGTGAAATTTGATCATCTCTCCAAGTCCTTGTGAACTTTACAGGCACCAAGCAGTCACTAAAGAAGTGAATGACATTCTCTTGATGAACCTATCTGCATCTTGTATTAGTTTAGTTCTCTTGAGAAAGTCTAGTGCTCATGCGATAAGTCCACATTAGCCACATTCTCATTATCATCATCTCACGCCACACAGGAGGATCATACAAGAGTGGAAGTGCCTGGAAATCTAGAAGCAGAGAAAACATTGTCTTCTTATTTCAAGTGATTACTTTCTGATCATCCATCCAGAGGAAATAAGTGAAGAGCTAGGCAGCACACTGAGTACAAGGGTCAACACATCTGTGATCCATACACTGCAAATATTTTAAAACCGTATGAACTGTTTGCAGGACTTTCCCGGAGGCTCATTACGCCAAGCCTCATGTGCAGAAAGACAGAGACAAATAGCGATCATCATAACAATCTGCTCCAGGCTACCCCCACCATGTGGAGATGATTCCTGTGGAGTGGTTCCATAAAGCTTCTCAATCTAGGCCCCAAGAACATGTATACTGAGATCCCTAGCAATGGTGCTATCACAGAGAATGCTACCGTCCCAACTACATGCTCAAGCCCTGAAAGAATGCATGAAACCCTATCTTCCGGCCTGCTATGAGAGTTTTAAACAGCACGTGAGGGATTCTTTTTGGTGGGTTCCTCTTTGCAATGAATGGATTCTCTTTAGTGAGTGTGCGGTTCCATTGGCACCCCTGCTCACGCAGTTGCAACAGCCCACGCAGGATTGGATGCCCATCTTTCCTCAACATTGACTTCACAGACATTGGTGGTGTTCATGTTGTGACCGCTTCTCTCTCCTGACTCGCAGTAGATCAATTTGGCAGTTTATTCTTACAGAGTAAGTGGCTCTGCATGCAACACTACAGCAACTGTTTGATAAATGCTCTGATATCAATAGTACTAAAGAGGAGGAAAATTCTGAGGGACAGCGAGCATAACTGCGAGAGTGCTCTCATATTTACATGATTCTGAGTCCATGCAAACATGGAATTTAAGTAAGCCTTTGCAAAAGTGACAGTGAGTGATATGGTGTAAGCTTTGTATTGCTTACTTGTTGCTTAGTTCTTCAACAGGAATACCAGAGGAGAAGAGATGTCTTGCGACAGGCCAACTATAGGCTCCATGGTTCATGTGTAGTACACAGCCTGATTATGTAGAGGAGCTGTTGATATAAATGTAGAGAGGCAAAGTGACTTTGAGCTTGAACTGAGCAGTGGGCTTGTACTTGGCCTTCTCAGACACATATGTTACTGTTATGTGTGTAGGTCTGAGTGCTCACTTAGAGCGAAGAGGAAAAGACATTTGTTATTTTTTGGTAGCCAGTCAAGGGCAGGAGACACCTTATAAATAATGTAGTATTACAACACAAATACAATTGAATCTGGCACCACTTCACTTAATTTGTCCTCAAATATGTAGATATGGCCATGGTCACTATTCTTTGTTTGTCTTTCTTAGTTCTCTCTTTCTCTGCAAGTTGGTGAAGTTGGATTGGATCCAACCTAGTGTGTCACAATAATCAATACACGTCCATGGGTGTGACGATGCTCCTCGTCTCCAGACTAATTGGATTTGTACAGCACCGTGCCCCTGTAGAGAAACGCATGGTCATCACTACCACTTCTAGAGCTGCTCTGGATCACCGCCACCACATTGAAGCTCACCTTGCCACTGGGTTGAGCAGAAATGGCTCCAAAGTGATAGAAGCAAATCAGTGACCTCATCAATCTCTGCTCGTGGGTGATGGCCAACCCTGCAAGATCTTCTTCCCTGTCCCTTGTGAGATCTTCGTCCCTGTCCCTCGCAGTGCCCTTCTTACCTGGCCGCTAGGTACATGTGACTGATCCCAAACTCCTGGTGGAGAATTCTCATGGAGATCTTCTCGCTGGTGATGTTGCTGCTGCTGCTGCTGTGACTCTCTCTCTCTCTCTCTCTCTCTCTCTCTCCAGGCACTGCTGTTGTTTATCATAGTGGTGTTCAAATTTTGTATCCTGGATTCACATGAGAATGACGTAATAGCAAAGAGCAAGACTTACCTGTAGCATTAAGTCGACTCTACCATTGGAACTTCTAGATAGCCTTTCTGCCACCATACTACCGTAAAAAACTGTGACAAAACCATGCCCCAACCGAAAAATTTCCTCTATCTTTGATAGCAAAACTTACAAACCACTATGATTACCTGTACCCCAAGATATTCACTGACTTTCTCCAAAAAGAATAGATATCAGAGGTTCCACTTTGTAATCAAGACGAAAGGATAAATGTAAACGGTGCTAACACAAAAATATATTGATACCTGTAGGCAACAGGATCATATGGGTGAAATATGTTCATCATTTGCCTGCATGTTAGCTTTTTTTCTTCAATGCCTTCACCTTCCCAGTACTCATGACCTGTTATTATGCAAACACATTCAAACTACATTGCAAAAACCGTAAATCACACACATACCCGTTCCAAAGTATACATTCCAGAGACTCAGAAACAGTGGCAATACAACTGTGAAAAATGCGAGAAAGAAATTTATCAACAGTGACGAATCAAAAACTCGCTCTCCTTATTTTGTTCCCAATCCTGCACAGTGACACGAGAGAGAGAGTCAAACATAAAACCCTCAGATATGAACAGTCAGAATCGTTGAATTTCAGACACACGGCCACAGAGATGGGATTTGGACTTACTCTTTCTACAACTTCTCTTTCTCATCCTCCTCTATCTTGGTGCACAAGTTGTCACTCTGCAGCAGCAGGAAAATGAAACAAAGTGATGAAACAGGTCAGCTACCTTCTCCACGAACTACTACCTCACACTCTCCAGATATGGCAGCGAGTTCCGGTAATGAAAAACAGAGAACAAACAAATCTTTTTCTTCTTCTCGAGCTAATGTTCCTCTTCACTGCAACACAGTTGGATTCAGACACACGGCCACAGAGATGGGATTTGGGCTTACTCTTTCTGCAGCTTCTCTTTCTCATCCTCCTCTATCTTGGTGTGCAAGTTGTCACTCTGCAGCAGCACGAAAATAAAATAAAGTGATGAAACAGGTCAGCTACCTTCTCCACGAACTACTACCATACACTCTTCATATATGGCAGCGAGTTCTGGTAATGAGAAATAGAGAATAAACAAAAAACACCTTTGACGTCCCAGATCTGAACTGCAGAAGTTCTTGAGGTTCTGGATGTGTGGAGGGGACTTCTCATCTGGTGTGCTGCTTCTCCCGAAATAAAATTTCAGCATAAAAAATGCTCCAGATACGAATAGCCATATTAACCGTTTAATAAGAGAATTTACATCTAGACCATCGATTTCAGGAATCCAAGGGTAAGAGAATAAAGAGAAACTCTTTAGTTAAACGTGCTATTGGCATATGGCATCCAGCGTCTTTTATTCCATTTTTAGAATATTATTTATAAATGGAATAATTTACTAAAGAATATTAGAATTTTTATTATGTGTCTAGTTTTACATTAAAAAATATACATAAGTAAATCTATCTAGATATTCAAACTATATTAGAGGTGTTTGAAAAGAGGTACAAACAAAAAGATTTACTATATTAGAGATATAATATTTGTATTAAGACAAACCAGTACTAATGCTTTATGATAAAAATATGGAGTCAAATTTAAAAATAAATTACTATTAAATGATTTAACACAAGATACTATTCAACAATTATATAAAGGTGAACATGATTACAGATTAACCTAGATTATAGAAGTATTAATGTTTTAAATGTAAACATGGATCTAACACAATATTACGTAAATATTGATACATTATGTATTGTATATGATACATTATTTAATTTTAAATAAAAATAATAAAAATATTTAATTATTTATTTACTAATTTTTTTAGGAACAAATTTCTATTATTAAGCTTATCATTTGTGAGTAAGTGTTACTATTGCATTTTCTTCAGCCACCTGCAACAACATGTCCAGCTGGTCTGAAAAGCTTGCAACGTCCGACAGATCTGTACGCTTCCTCTTTTTCCCTGTTAGGCTCTCGTACAGCAATTGATCCCCCTCAAGTTTCTTCAGTGTCTGGGCCGACGGTATTGTGAGCTTCTCCAGTTCTCTGACCAAAGAATGGTGGAACTCGGTTAGTTGTTTTTCATTGGATGCCTTTCCGTAAAGCCTAGGTAAGAAACCAAAAAAGATGGTTACTGCACTCACGAGAAACATAAAAAAAATAAATAGATAGAGAATAACATACTTATAGAATCGAGTAAATTCTGTAGAGCACAGGAAAATAGCCGCTCGTCTGACTTGCGCATCCACCAGCAGCGGCAGTGCAAACTTGTCAAATGCCGGCATTAGTTCCTCTCCGCTGACAATCTACAAGCATTACAACAAGTACTATTGCAGCCAAACACTATTTCTTAAATGGTTTACTGGAATAGAATAATACAAGCTTGGACTCAAAGCTTAAAAAAATTATTCAACACATGAAGAGGTGGCTTAATCATATTCCTCAATTTGGTATATTATTTGGGCATTCTAGATCAGGTTCATCACTTCTATAAGCTCATTGGGGTTGAGCAATAGACTACTAAGCATTTTCCATCTCAAGGCATTTTTAATTTATGCCCATGTGAATAAGGAGTAGTTCCCTTAGGGTGGGGTTCCATGCTCCACCCACCTGGAAATTTCTCCTCACCCCACAATTTTGTCCTAATTGCTACCACATTTATATTAAAAATCATGACAATAGAGAGTGATTCTTGGTATGTAATAGGTATAAGCTATCTCATACACATACTAGCAGGGAACCCAGCTCCGCTGGGATAGTTAAATGCTAATTCTAAAAAGAGAACAATTTATTAAAACTTGCTTAAGTTTAATATGTAACAAGCACTTGGTTTATTTAGTTTTTACTTAGTGATTGTAACCAAACA